AAGGACTGAAAGCGTAACAGAAGTAGTGTAAGTTCTAGAAAAAATTGAGACTCCACCACAGATCCATCATCACCATTGGCGAAGGTTGGAGTTTAGCCAGTGTAGCCGATCGTGGTGTGTCCGCGCTTTTGTTGTGAAACAACGCGGTCGGGCGCATTAGCAGCCCATAAATTACGGGGATAAACGGATCCGCCCGGACCTACCGCAACCCGTGCCCCCGTTGAATATGCATGGCGACGGAATACGAGCGCTGCTCTCCTCCGGCGAACGGTGCCCTTCGAATTTTTAAACAGTTTATGAGGTTACGTTGACAGAACGAAAAAAAAAACAATGGCAATTTGACACGACAGCCATAACACACAGTAGAAGATGCGATGACGCGAAACTCGCAAATGGCTGATAATTACAGTTCTCTTTATCTTCAATGAGTGGTGTTTTGAATCCCTTTCTATTGTTTCGGTCAGATTGATGGTAACATTGTTTCGGTGATTTAGCAATCGGAATTATGCCTTAAGCTTTATTCTGGACTTATCACGACATCGCGCTAAACGGCTTGTCATATTTACGTTTTACCAACCTCATGACAGGGCCGACACTATTTGACAGATGGTGAGTTTGTTAGATATATATTAGTGACTTTATTTTATACCTTGAAGCATATGTTGCAAAGTGATTTCTCCATTTAATGAATTTTGGAAATCATTGGTTCACGTTTAAGACTCGAATCCACAGCCATTATTGAAGGTCCGATGTTTAAGTCGAATCAACTATATTTACTCATGTATTTTTTTCGTTTCAACAAATTCATATAATTTTAATAATTACTCACAGCCATCTGTACCATGTTATAATTCGCATGTTCCTGATTATCGCAAGTCACTGTAAGACTATAGATAGCAAAAAATAATTCGGAGCAAAAAATTGTGTCGAGTTAATAAAACGATATTATCATGTAACTTCCGCTATAACGTTCGTTTATATGTACATTCTAGTATTAATTTAGCAAACATTGAAAATTTATAGGCCATGTTTAATAGTCGTCAAAAAACTATTAATTGCATAATTGGCTCTTTCGTTTCAATAACCTTCCGGTTTGTCTAGATCGATCATTTGAGTGATTCCAGTTTGTGGAGTTAATTGAGGTCGTGAAGTTAAGTTGTGGGCCGTAGATGAAGGCGCCGTATATTTGCGAAATATGTTCGAGGATACAATATATAACAGCTAGTTGTCACTTTCCATCGTGTCGAAATGAGCGGCACCGTTGTTGGGCCGACGCGATGGCTTCCGTTCGCTAGCGAGCGCCATTCAGACGAAAACAAAAAAAAATCTCACACGTTACAATTATGACGGCGCGAGAATAACGCGTGGAATTTATTTGAATTACAAATTGAACGCACCGCAGACAGTTTTGGCGCGCGTCGAATAAATAATTTGATATTATGCAAAGCGATGAGACTTCGCTTAACCGCTGCGGGCGACCTTGACATAGACCCATAAATAAGAATATCTTAACCACTCATACATATGGACGGCCGCTCGCACACTCAAATATGGTAAGTGCCGGCTTATGAATAAATTTTATTATTTAAAACTCGGAATGTTCATTACTAAAACAAATACTCGTAAGGCGTAGTAGTACAGGATGCTCCGCTAGCGTCTGTTGGCGGTGGTGGCTGCAGGAGAGCCATGAGTTTAATCGTGTTTTAGGCCTGTGGCATGTTGTGGCTTCTGAGCCGCTTGGCGAGGCAAGCGCGCCGAACTCAAGGTGATCTGGGCCCGCGCCCACGCGCCGCGCCTGACGTCAACGCGCTATCTGGAATACCGTGGAACAATGCCTTCTATCTACCGATTGAATTCGCATTACGTAATCGCCGACACCTAAAACGTGTCTATTCCGAACTAGACCCCTCCGCGCCGCTATATATTGCACCTCGTTTTAGCGTTCTCGATAAATTAATAGCTTTATCTACGCCTAATAAGTGTTTAACTGTTTTATAGGCCTGAGATGACATCATTTCTATCCGACGTAACTGTAACGCCTGGATCCATTTCGGTATCGTGGTTTTTACGGTGAGACATGTATGCAATTCGAATTTAATTAAATTACACGGCTTACAAAACAAAAGCACACCCTGTAACAGGAGGTTCTCATGACCCGAGGCAAATCACACTGCGTCGAACATGCTCCTGACAATAAAAACAAGACAACAATCGAGCGCTTCCATTAAACAAATTCGTGAATAAGTAATGCAGCTCAATGCTTGATATTAATATTTATAGGATCGGGCGATTTGAATAGATCTCAGATGTCGCTCGTTAGCGAGTGCGAACGCGCCGATCCTATCTCAATTTGTTTTGTCAAGATTTACTCGCAATTAGCTTATCAATCGCCGCCTCTTACACGCCCGAGTTGTTGCACACTTTCCGCGCGTTAATTAATTCAAGTTCTATGCGCATCCGGTCGTCAACTTATTGTCTGTCGGTTGACGAAAAGTCATGTGTGTCAGTTTTTTTATAGCTTCCATCAATTACCAATAGCATAGGAGGCAAAATGTTAATGGCACATTATTTATGTCACCGTCGACCTTTTTAAGCATCCGTTGAGTGGTCCCCAGATATCGCACTGGTAAAACCGGTACATTTACGGAAGGTTTTTCCGTAACTATCATTCTGGAATATCCTTTGTAATCGAGTTTGGAGTGACAATATTTTAAGAAAAAATAAATAACACGGATTATGTTCTACGCGATTAGCGGGGCCTAGGTTAGATAACAACAATTTCAATCGTTAAAAAATTCTAGAATTGGTTTTAATTAAAATATAATAAAATGAAATCCTTTGCTCCTATTCTGCTATCTACATTGCATCGTCTTCTTTTGATCTCAAACATTGTTAACGATGGTGTGGCTTATCGCAATAAACCGGTTCCTAAATGTGACAGTTTGATTTTTCCACGAACGAATTTAAAAGCCAAATCTAGTAAAAGAAAAATTCAATATCAACTTCTTCATACCTTATGGAGTATACCAAAATAGTAAGTGCAATAAAAAAAATCAATATGGTTGTGAATAATTGGCTCCCATTCCTCGAGGACGTTTCTTTTGTGCGGGGTTGATCGAAGGCCTCGATATACACCGTAAATGATCCCGGCAACGACAGCGCGACGCGAGGGAGAAAAAGCGGGAATTCATTCACGACGTGTGCGACCGCCATGTTGGATGTGCACAGAGTATACAACGGCCACATTTACGAAGACATGATTGCTCAGTGGTCAATTTCGGTGAAGGCTCTTTCGTTTAGCCCATATTATTGCGCAGCCGTGGGACTCCGTGTACAGACAGTTTCAGTACTTTACTTTTTTACATTTACAAAATATGATTGTACCACCACATCAATGAATATACACAATATCAAGTTGTGTAGTACTTTCATAGTGTTTGATGATTTTTTAGTTTTTTAAGTTCGAAGAATATGTAAACTACCGACGCAATTGTCTTACATTATTTTTACTAAAAATTGTATTATACATTTTTGATATCACTGTTTCCTCTATAGGATTGATGACGTGCCAGCCGGTGTGATTGAGCGGAATTTTTATGATGTTAAAAATTCAACTTTCTTGATATATACAAAATTTTGTGTGTCCCCGTGTTCCCAGGCCGAGCCGCGGTCCGGGACTCGGCGTAACGACAAAAGGAAGGATATGCGTACGTGCCTCACAAAGCCGCGGACGATATTATCCGATGGTTTTTACATCGGCCGTATTAGGAGCGACGCCGGGGCTCCGGACGTGTTCAGACTCTGTAGCGACGCGCTTGTTTATCCACTTTTGTTTATCGGACGCCACGATAGCATCTGCCGAGATCTCGTTGGAGATGTAGCCCAGTTAGATCTTTATTTTTTACAGCTTATCAACCCGTCCTCACTGTTACATGGTTTACTGTTGGATAACTCGGCACTATTTTTGTTATATTGTATATGATTTATAAGGATTTATTGTAAAGTTATTACACTAAGTCCGAAATCAGAGTAACATAAGGAACATTTTGGTCAGTGTATAAAAGACCAATATGTAAATTTCGAATGCAAATTAAAATAAGTATCTCTTTGTTAGAATGACAAACATTATTCTGAATCTAAAACCGTCATCTTATATAACACAATCAGTTTCTCGTTTATTTCTAAACGCTGCAGACAAATCCTTCTGTCACACACCACAATACCAATAATTTTCTGCGACCGAGAAGACGTTGTTCCCATTGGAATAAAGTTGAGAATTGTCAGATGAATGGGTATCAGTTCCATCAAGTTAGCGACAAGATCCGATTAGGAGAGATACGATAATACCTGGATGCGATTCGTCGACAATGGTAGGTGGTGTATCGGTGGCAGAATCTCGGCCGACAATGCTCCGTAAATACAGAGGTTTATTGTGAGTGGGCCGAGATGGCGCGGGTGAAGCGAGATTAGACGAGGTGAGAGGGCTTGGGTTCGACACATGATTCTGTCGTTTGTTCTGGGAACATCACAACGTTGAAGGACGATCGTCACCCCAGTCCAGACTACAGTCTGGGTACATGTTTTAGAATTTTGTTTTAAGAAAACAAATCGACACGCAAACTCCCCCTTTGTGTGAGTGCTGCTAAATTGCCTTAACGGATGTCAAATTTTGCTAACAAATAACTGGTTTGGTGGGAAGAAATAAAATGGTCACGTGAAAAGTACAATTTGAATTAGCATTTTATCAATGTTAATGTGAGTTAAAAAAAAATAATTACTAAGAAAGTCAACTCTCACGACTACCTCTGATAAAAGGCTGGTTAAGTTTTTGATTGTATAAATAAATATCAGGGTGCAGTTATTGATACAGAAATAAAAATAGAAAAATAATAACTTAATTACATTTGGAAAATGAAGGTGCTTGCTGACGCGAGATTACAGATCAGAGATTACAATTCAACACGTATCGTTAGCACATCGGGCATCGAAGCAGCACCTTAGAACAAGTCCGTGTTATCAGGTGGGCGGAAGTAACGCGCAAGGTGCGACACCTGCCATTTGGAAGTGAGACGTGGACGGGAAAGGTCACTTCGCTGCAAGGTCGCGACCCGCGCCGAAAATCTAGATAAAGCGCCGGCGAGATACGTGTCCCAAACCGTGGGAGTGGCCGAGACAATGGGCATTGTAACGCCAACTATAAATTCCCTTACATAATTGCGGTAATTAAAACTTTTACGTACGCGGATCGGTCGCGTGGAGAGGCAGTCCGATCTGACGATAGTGAGTCCCGCATCGGCCGGACAAGTCCCGTTGGCACTAACGGAGCTCGTCCTATCGAAAACGCTTTGTTTAGTGCCTTATCGTTCGAAGGAGACAAATATCATTGATAGCCCAATTGATTTATGCGCAGCGCAGTGACTTGTATTTCAAAATAGCGCCCGATACGAATTATGAATCGGAATGGAAAACGTTTGTGGCCATTGTGAATTACGGAGGGAATATTGCTGCAAGTGAATAAGGAAGCGCGAATACGCGACAAAAACAAGATTTTTACCTTAAACGATTACAATCGCATGCGTCAAACATTTGTATGCAAATGAGTGCCTTCGATGTTGTAAATATATTTATAATTATTAGAATGCGTTGGTGATCCAGCATTTGTTTTCCCTTCCACCGCTAGCTTGTTATTATTATTTTTTTGTTGTTGCTTGTTATTATAGCCTTTTAACCATATGAGTTTAGTTTCTGAGATGCATAAGTAACGTTGTTTTAAAAACAAAGGTACTAATATTGATTTACGAAAACGTAAAATTAATTCATTGATTGTTGGATCTCTGCTGTTCTCCACCTGTTAGCAAAATCCAAAAGTTTGCAACAAATTATCTACGCTCAGTCATTACACAACTTAGTAGAAAAAAAAAAACAACAACTCAACTGGTTACGATATCTTCAATCTCGTACACATCGCTGGCGTGGGTGTTGTGGTAATTACGCAAAACTACGCAGCGTAGGTATCCCACCTTCGAAATTTCTCCCCTTTACGGTGTGATTTATTTATACGTCCGCGCGTTGGAAATACGATCGCGTATTATGTTGCTATCTTCGAATAGTGTAGCATCACGGTCGGCTGCCACTATCATGGCGTCACATCTGAGCCATTGTTTTGACTGTATAATTTCCCACGTGCTTTGTTCCGTAGTAATGACCTCGAATGGACGGACGCACGGTGCCAACTGCGAAGCGATGGGATCGCAGTCGACTATCCTGTCTGATGATACTGTCTGGTGCATGGTGATATTGACCGTACCATTACGGTTGATGGTGATTCTGACGGTACCATTACGGCTGATGGTGATGTTGACGGTACCATTACGGCCGATGGTGGTGTTGATGAGTTAACTTGTTTAGTTTTTTGTTGAAAATAATGTGATCATGACGGTTCCACTTACGGTGGCGTTAACATTATGTATATTTATAATTTGAGGCACTTATTTCGTTTGACCTATTAAATATTTGTATGAAGCTAGTAATGATAAGAAAACAAACCTTCTTTTATTTTATGTTAAATGTATGAACGGATCACCTGATGTTAAGATAAATGATAAATGGTTAAATAAAAATAATCTACACATTAATTTAAGTAAGACACATATTATTAATTATAATAACTTAAATTTTGACATAAATATTAAATATAATGGACAACTACTGCGGAATGCTAATAATTCAACATTTCTAGGTTTAGTTATAGACTCTAATCTAAATTGGAAGGAACATATACATAAAGTGTGTAACAAAATTAACAGATTTGTATACGCGTTACATAAATTAGCAAAAATATCAAACATAAATACGGCGATCACAGCGTATTTTGCATATATAGAATCTATTATCAGATACGGACTTATAATTTGGGGTAATGGCACAGAATGTCAAAAAGTATTTCTAGATCAAAAGCGCTGTATTAGAGCTCTTAGTAACATTTCATCATATATATCATGCAAGACTTATTTTAAGACCTTAAATATACTTCCTTTTCCTTGTCTCTATGTATTTGAGGAGGCAAATTTGTAAAACAAAACCAGAATATGTTTTTACAAGCTAAAGATGTGACAAAAATAAACTTACGGAACCAAGATAAATTAGTACTAGATACAATTCCTAAAAGTAAACGCTTTCAAAAAAATAGCTATGCAATGTGCAATACTATTTATAACAAGATACCCTCACATATAAAACAATTACCATATAATATGTTTAAAATTTCGTTATGACGATGGCTACTAGAGAAACTATTTTACACAATAAATGTTATTGTAATACTAATTAATGTTGTTACTATTATTTCATATATTATTTTTTTTTGTTTAAAATCGATGCATTAATTAATTAATATATCTATTAAAATTGTAGGACGATTTCAGTTACATGTAAAAAAAAAAATTAGACAACTGTATTATAAAGATATATCTTCTGGACATTTGCATGCTGTTTAAAACAGCTAAATAGGTTAGGTTGACATTTGTGACAACAACAAGATAACAAGACCAAAATTTTTCTGTACTACCTATTTATCAGCAAATAAAGAAACTTAAACTTAAGTGATTACCACTAGCCCTCGACATCAAGAACCCTTGAGGGGTTGCAGGTATGTTACCAACAATAAAAAATGGCCTCCTGCTACCTCACTCACCAGACGATACGTGAAAGAATAATACTTCAACTTCACGCTGGTCTTCTGTTGCTGGGTTACTTCCCCGAATGAGCCTGCCCATTCGTGCAATGGCTGAAGCTGTTACGAGGCCCTGCCACAGTAAAATAACTTCAAGTGGACGGTTACCAGACGGTACACAGTAAATTTTAAAGATTTTTATAGTGCTAATCTCTGCACGTAAGATTGAACATTAAAACATGTAGAAAACGTAGTTAAATCTTAAGTGCAGAGATTAGCACTATAAAAAACTTTAAAATTTAAAAAAGCAATGGCGACATCTCTCGTTCGAATTATCGTTGTAAAACGATATTCGAAATTGTTTGTATGCTGGAAAGGATATAACAATAGATGCGCCAAGCATTAATTCAAATGCTAAATAACAATGTAGAAAGAAGGCGTTAAGATTTTCGTCGCTGTGGCTATCAGCCGTTTAGCTCAGTGGCTAGAGCGTCAGGCCGCGAACGCCGAAGACGTGGGTTCGATTCCCACAGCGGCGACAATCTTTTCGTACTTTTTCTACATGTTTTAACGTGTACACAGTGTTGAATTTTTCGTTTGGGCGCTAATTTTTTTATTAACGATTTTAACCCGTTTATTGAATTTAACTTCATCTAATAACAAGACTGATCGGCCAGTAATATTTATTAAAACATTCATAGCTTCGAATGATACTTCATTAAAAGTTCATTGGTTAATTTTACAATTCTATTTACTTCACTCGATTCCATTTCGATATCTATTCAAATTGAAGTACGAGTTTCATCATCATCAGTTTGTTACACTCCACAGCTACTGAATTATATTATCATGTTTTAACGAAAACTAAACGCAGTGTATTAAATATAATACTAACGAGTAAATGTATTTCAATGGAGTAAACGGAAATACCATACAATAATAAGGATAAGGACTTCCCTTGATTACAAACTCGTTTCTTTGTCCCATTCCTTTTTATTTATCATCGATAAAACGGCACATAAATAAGAATCACAGATACTATTTATCTAGTTACTACCACTACACCTGCAAATCAATTTTGTCTGTTCCAACCGCAAATAGCAATTAAATCTAATGGTCGAAACGTGTATGCTTTAATACAACTTATCCTTGGTGCTGTTTGCAGAGGGGAAACGCCTGTCAGGCTTATCAGAAACGAGGAAGTTGGATGGCCGCCGGCGCTTGACGGCAGATTGAGGCTCGTAAGCCGTCAGCGGCAGGAAGAACCTTGGCACGAGCGGCAACCCAGCGCCAAGTCTACCGACGAGGACGTTTCCCCCCGAAAAGAATCCTTTCAAATTATACCACTCACATTAATGCTTTAATAACATCTTTGTACGGAATGATGATAACACTTTTTACAACATAATTCTGGCTGAGTATTATAACATTTTCGAACCGCGTCTCTCAGTTTATTCATCGAACTATATATAAAGAAAAAAATAGATTAAACATTAACTAAAAAAAATATCAATTGTGGGAAACGTTAATTTCGTGGTTTTGTTTTTTTTTAAATGAATCGTAAATTTACATTTGGTCACATATTAATTTTTTTAATTATTTATTATAATTATCTATTTTATAATTACCAAATCAATGCTGATTAAGAAATCACTGGACTAGTTATTTATAATTATTTCAATTTAAATTCTTATTTAAACCATCTAAAATGTCTCGCTCTATATTTATGAATCTTGTTTTGAAAAAGATTTTTACTTATTTAGGTGATAATTAATTTTTTTGTAAAGATTGTTAAACGTCGTATGTATGAAGACTACAGCTGACTGTTGCACCTGCCATTTTTTTCGCGAGTTGTTATGACACACTTAAAAACTTTAATAAGGTCGTTATATAACCCGTAGAGAATGAACACAACATGGCCAATTCACAAATGTAATGACTGAGGTAGTAACCATACCTATGTCGAATGTGAGAGAATAATTTCTTTAAAAATTTTATATTATTATTACGAAAATCAAATTCATAACCACCAATGTCACTTCTGTAATCATTCCGAGGTAAAACTATCATTTACATAGGCGCTCAGCTGGGCAGTTAAAGTGGTGATGAATTTTCTCAAAGATCTAAACGGTTGGACGCTTGAGCCGACGATTACTTACTACGTCTAACATAAACGAAATAAATACTAGCGTAAGACCTTTAGCGGCACGACGGCATTAAATCCAAGCAAAAGGTCAACCGGCGCACACGCGAGGAGGAAGTAAAAACGCAACCGACAAGTCGCCACGGGTTAGAGAATCGTCCGGAACAACACAAATTGCATTTGACCGCAATTAAAACCGGCCACGGGACCCGGCGTTTGCGAAATAATAACAACAAGACGCCCGGCTAATTATCAAGTTCCGGCTAAGCGATAAACAGCGCCGGGTGATACGAGTTGTTTTATTTCCTTTAGGCCACGACAAACAAAGAACTTATCAGCGCCCCGGCAGCCGTGGCGATGGCGGAATTGCAGGCAGATAACGCCTTGAATAGGTGAACATACAAACATATTACTTACATCTATTTAAAAACTACGTGGTAGTGTAATTTTATTTTGCCCGTCCATTCCGTAATTACATATTATCATTAATTTAAAGGCAACAGTAACATTTGAAGTTATAATTGTGATTTGCACTTAGGCGATATCATGGGTTTGCAAATTTTTTTTTTTTTTTTTTCATTTCTTTACATTAATTACGTGTACATAAATTGTTCATTAATTTAACAGAAAACATATGGATAGAATGTGATAATTTTTACAAAAGTAACATCAAAATATGCTAATGTGAAGTTAATTTATCCAGATTTCACTTTCTTGGTTAACTAACGCGTTACGTGGATTCAATAATTTATCGAAGCATTTCTAATGACTGTTTCGCTTTCCTATCCGAAATTTCGCAGTCGTTCTCACGGAACGGCGCGTTGGAGAACAATTTTAACATTAAATATATTAACATTCTCTCATACTTAACCCCGTTGGTCTCATTCTAAGTGAGAACATTAAACATTTTAGCAAATCGATAAGCAATTTCTACATTGCGACATTATGATATTTATCTTGTTGGTTAAGTGAGCCGTGATAGCTCAGTGTCCGGGCGCTCGCCTTTAATTCAATTTTTAAGTGCTGGCTTATCACGTACTCAGTGGTGAAGGAAAACATCGTGAGGAAACCTGCATGTTTTCGAAATAATAATAAACAAAAATGTTTCGAACAATATGTGAAGTCCAATTCGCAGTGAGGTCGCGTGGTGAACTATGTCTCGATACCCTCTTTAGTGAGGAGGCCTTTGTCCAGCAGTGGGACATTTATAGATTGTTACTTTACTGGTTAAGATACGAACTACCGTCGTATTATCGTTGTGACCACCGACAAAAATCAATAGCTGAGACGACTGCCATCCCTGCTCAGTACGGAGTTATTTCACGGAGCGCAACCCTGCTCACCCTTTCAGTGCTAATGCGCGCGATAAAGCATTGGGGCGCGATCGAAATTAAATAAGGCGTTATCGGTAATCCCGCGGGCCATCAATCGTGGGCGCCGCCGTCGCCGCACAATGCCGCCGACCCCCTCTGACGGGCACAATGCAAGCTACGCACTGGTCGTCCAAAGCCGCGGATGATGTATCGCTGCCCCTCGTAAACGATATATTTTCCATTCGATAAAGACCGCTCACACGGACAACACGAGAACGTGGCACGACACTAAGTATTGTTTACAATGACCCGGGTGAAAATCGTCTTAGACTGTAACCGTCAGTATAGTCTTAAAAACCAACCAAGAGTGAGTCGGACTCGCTTACGAAGGGTTCCATTATCTATATAAACGGACAAAAATTCATGTCTTTTGTATCGAAGCCCCACTTAAATATTTTTTATCCTGTTTTTTTTTTTAGTATTTGTTGTTATACCGGCAACAGAAATACATCATTTGTGAAAATTTCAACCGTCTAACTATCAGAGTTCAACAGATACAGGCTGGTGACAGACGGACAGGCAGACAGACAGACAGCTTAGTCTTAGTAATAGGGTCCCGTTGTACCCTTGGGTGCGGAACCTAAAATTAAAGGCACCGAACTGTTGTAAGAAAAAGAGACGGAGAATATTAGACCATAAATAAATGAATTCTGTGCATAATATATTATACACTTACACAAAAATCGAACCCACTACCCCCCCTCCCCAGCATACCTTGGTTACCGCGCCTCGGAGTCATCAAACTTCAGAAGAATACAACACTAATGACTGACAAAGGAACAATGTCCATCTGGCCAGTTAGTATTTACGTAAACTTTTAAAGATACCCCAGCGGAAGGGCTTTGAATATTTTACAATTACACACAGTGGCATGTACCTACTTACTTGCGCAAATATCATCGTCTAATGACGGGCGACACTTGAGCATGCTGGAAGTGGAGGCGATGAGTCACGGCACCGCCTGCCCCCGCTTATGATTCACAACTAATGACAGTAAGTCACCTTTTCCTGCCTGCAGTTGGTTATTTATTCTCTCGCTTCTTAAGTCGATGATTCTAATGAGAATGACGTCGCGGGCGCAATATTTATTTAATTAACTCGAATAAACGCTTAATCAAAACTAAGGTTTACAGGACGTAATTAACACTCGATACAAGAGTTTGCTTTAACGAAAAAGGCCGCAAAGAAGCCTCGTCAGGAGCTACAATTATACGCAGTCATAACTTTAATGTTTCTATAAAGTAATTACAAAGTTTCAACTCTTAATTGTTATCGAATTATAGTATATAGTATAGTAGTCAGTATTGCCATAATATCGTCACTGTTCACGCGCATTTTACCCTTCTTAACCCTTCGAATGGGGCCCTTATTAATTTGGGGACAGTGGGGCTGCTGAGTCTGGCACAATAAGAGTAGAAAGCGGGTTCAAGCTGCTGTCATAACAATGATCGATCAGTGTAATGAACTGCCTTCCATATGCGTATCAGACCGCAAACAACACCACTATCTTATCTGTAAGAAAACCCCTGCAAAGCTACTCTAGAGTTTGGTTTATTATTATACAACCGTGTTCTCCTATACAGGGTTGAAAGCATTTTCCGAGGCATTTGATGCCAATCTTTCGAATTAATATTAGGTTTATGCGTAACCTTCGGGATCTTCCATATCGTTTCCTGTCCTTCGGGATTAGTCTTATGGTTGCGGTAGCCATTTCTTATATATGGCATCACGCACCTTTATCAGATTTTAGTGATATACGTCAATCGTTTCACTTTTGGATTCATCTAAAGAATGACGCTGATTCCTACTTCTGGATTCAGAGATTATATGATTAATTATTGTTTTATCAATAATATAATTATTATAAAAATGTGTAGATAAAATGGACGAACATATATTCGCCGCTGCTGGAAACGAACCCACGTCTTCCGCACTAAATGCACATAAAAACTGAAATGTAATTACTATTAAAAAATATCAAGTTTAAAATTAAAATATGTAGAAAAATTACGAAAAGAACTGTCGCCGCTGTGGGAATCGAACCGCCGTCTTCGGCATTCGCGGCCTGCTGCTTTAACCACTAAGCTAAACGGCTGATTGTCACACCGACGAAAGACGTGGGTTCGATTCCCACAGCAGCGACTGTCTTTTCGTACTTTTTCTACGTATTTTAAAGTTCAATCTTAAATGCAAAGATTAGCACTATAAACAATTTAAATTTCTAAAAAATCAAGTTTAAAAGATTAATAAAACCGTAAATTCCTCATAAACTAGTCGCTGGAGGCATTGAATTACTTACTACAGGATTGTCATCACGTCTTTACTCTGGAGCCAGGAATATCTTCATCTCCCGTTACATTTTGGAACGTAAACAGTTTATGTATAACACTTGCTGTTGTTACCCTAACATATAGCACCATGCTCAGAATAAGGTCAGTGCTAGGTCGTTCAAGATGTCCTCGCGTTATCACCGTTACCATCAGATGTGACAACACTCACCGTCCGTGGCCGAGCGAGTGTGGCGCCACACCTGCGCGGGAGTGTCGTATCGGCCGATCTGTCTCGACATTAATCTGCCCCTCGATGATTGGCCAAGGTCGGCCTTTGGAAAGGCGGTTGCATGCTCTAACTCCGATAGCCGCCGATATTGAAATAATAGTTATATTTAAACCCGCACCGACACGATAAAAACCTGTCCATAAACGTGTTCGAAGCGACATTCCCTGCTTTGCTGTTTAAGCTTCGTCTCCTACATGATTAGTGCGGTTTGACATGTCCATAAGAAACTTGGAACATTGGACCAATCACTTATCTAATCTGAACTGATATGCCTATGCATAGAGTGACCATAAAATTACCAGTAAATTTAATTTACAAATTGAATAATACAGAGTTTATAATAAAATAACATGAAATGGATTTATGCTTTTTCTACCGAGATTTCCAATTATATATTAAGAGACGTAAAAATGCAAACGTGATAAGTGGATTATCCCATGATAAAGTACCAATTATACTTTCTGATTCTAACTGCGCTTTTACACTGAGGTAGAGACTGGATACAATAAATGTGAAGAAAGTGAACAACTTTATGTCAAATGTTATGCTTGTTATAAAGTTACCGTCTTACCTCAAAAATGGTATGATATTGCGATAAGTTACCTGAACCCATTAATCAGATTTCTGATTACAAAACGACATCAAAAAGTTAATTGATGATTTCACATATATCATCTTTACGAAAATAGTGAATGAATAGTTCATTGCAAAAAAAATAACAATTAAAATTTTACGTCTTTTTTATTATTTCCATTGTCTGTCGTTATTTGAAAATGCAAATCTTTGATTGGGTTCGTTTGTGTTTTTTATTAAAATTTCACGTGCAATGCGCGTCAAGACTACTATTAGTCTGGCATGACTGATTTGATGTAAAAAATCCTGAATGATTGATACTTAGCAGTGGCGAGATTTTATTACATTTATTTCGTTTCGGCTTTGAGTCTATCGCTGTCTGTCCAATTATCTGTATGTGGGTTGAGGCGAACGGTTGAAATGAATGTAAAGTGAAAATGTTATTGTTTCCCTATATCTTCCTTATTCATTCCATTCTCCTGGGGGTGACGTGGAGTGTGGTGACAATATGAGAACATAAATTAATAAGTTTTTTAATGTATTTAACGCAACATTGCTAGACATATTCCTATAAATAATGTTAGGAATAATAAATGCTGTTAAATGCTGTTAATAATAAATGCTGTTAGGAATTGGATTAGGTTCTTAGTAAGCAAATCTAAAACTTCGTAAAAAATACAAAAAAACTGGGACATATCAACAAAACTATCTTGTAAATTGATTGTTTATATTTTATTTCATATTAGTGTAAGAATTCATTTTTAATTTCTAAGTTTAAAATTTGTAAGTTTCACGGCGTATTGCCGATTTGTCTGTTTGCACCTTGTTTAGTAGAACAGCTGGTACTGTCAGACGGTGTCTCCCTGACAATGATATATAGTTGGAAAGTAACTGCTACTGTGTTGCAAATTTACTATTTAAATACACTTCTTAGCTTTGTTTTAAGTGTCATTTTGACTCTAACAACAGCAGTTTCTATGTTTGTCGATGCAAATGGTATTTATTATAAATACAATGCAATAGTAAAAAAATTCCTTTCTATCAAGGCAATCTGTGACTGCCCTCCACCGTAATTTCGTTGATGTCTTATAAAGGAGCGTTAATCAGCCCCATTCAAAGAGTAGCTCAACAGGTACGTCACAAACTTGTGATATTTTTAATACAAACATAAAAAGTCGACCGAAGCTTTTATTACGGCCAGCCCCGCGCTTGATAATATAAACCACTAATAATGCAGTACTACAGTCGTAGGCAGTACACGCAGCATAGTATACGCCTCAAAAACAGTCAGCTTCTAGTTCCGTAGCGTTCGGATTTTACTTATAAATAGCCTATTTAAAATGTACAGAACATTGAATGAGGTATCGATTGGACGAAGGTAATTCGCGGACGCATTGCACGGAGCCGAATTCCTTCGCGTTCTGTGAATAGCCGGTTAGCATTGAGGCTTCAGCGCTTAAGTTATTGCTTAGGCCCTGCGCTCAGCCGTTTAGTAGCGCCACGTTGGATTTTGTCGCGATCGCCATTTGCATGTCTCCATTAGTAAGTCCAACGCTGAATTAATCACAGCTTGAGCCGTGTCTTTATTTCTCGTCGTCTTAGCAATATTATTCGCAATACGGGAACAGTTTGTAACTATTATTATTATCATTTTTAATGTCAGTCTTTTATGTTGGAACTGTAATTTTAAATTGTTTTTTAAATGGTTTATGTTCGCGATTGAAGCCAAAAGCGGTGGTATATCTTAATAATTACTCTCAAGACTTTTTTAATTACCTATTGCCCAACTTGTGTGTAATAATGCAGAATAATATAAAAATAATTGTTGAATAGGAAATAACGTTATTGACATTTGCTAGTTTTTCAAAAATCATTTTTTTAAATCAACAAAAGGTATGTGTTCAAAATTGTTATACAAAATTACCAAGCTATAATAATAATAATAATAAAATGGCGTAGGGAAGTGACGACCCCATCGCCCACCGGCGTAACAATTTAAGTGACAGAACTGTTACGTCGGCGCAATCAGTCAGCGCCTTGCCAAGAGGTGTTTGCACCGTGCCTCGGCAAAAATGAGGGTGCATAGGCCCGTCTGTGCGTATGGCCACACTATTGAAAACGGTGCCGGTCTGGGGGCGTCTTCCGTTAAATGACGCCCTAAAAATATAATGGATGATGGACTCCCGAAGAATGCGCATAGGGCCGCTACCTGGGGGCCGCCAGGGCGCGTCTGGAGCTGGCGCTGGACGTGGCAGCATGCGGGACGCCAGCCGAGTGCGGGGTACTGCACGACCACCCAGCAGTACCTCGCATCCATCATCCCCACCAGTTGGCTTGGTGTCGGCAGGGTCCTCTCGGATCCAGCAATCGGCACCCGCCGCTGGTGGAATACGCCGCTTGCGCTGGACTGAAAAAATGAACAGGAACGCAATGCGGGCGTATCTTAGGGCGAAAGGGAGTGAAACTGGAGGGTTTGCGTATCGGGCAAGGATGCATCGCTTTTTTGCTGAGCTGGAGCCATCTATAACCGTCACCGAGCAAAACCTGGCAGACCGAGTTCGGTACATCATGCGCTCAAAAATATTTGATGATGCCGAGCTCGAACGACTACGACGTGAGGCTGTTCCCTCATCGGATGAAAATGTAGTGGCTGGGGATACGGCCCCCCAAGCTGCGGACCCTGCAGGGTTACAAGCAGATGCGGAGGCCGCGGTTAACTCCCCGGCTCCTGTAGATTCGTGCGATGATGGAATAGTCGCCCAAGAAATAGAGCAGATGGGAAGCATATTGGAGGAGGCAATTCTGGAGGTGCGCGAAACGCCTCTCGAGAGTCGACCACGTCTCCCCCGCATACCCCTAAGTAAGCGGAGTCGGTCTGTCGTAAGGTCTCTTAACCCGATGCTGGCAACCTATTTGGAAGCTAGCCGGGATCTTTGCGATACGGACTCAATTCTCTTTGGCGCTGCACTGGCAGTATGCCGAATCGTTGGCGCCAAACTTCCCAAGGCTGGACGTGCTACCAGACCAGGTAGCACTATCCCAGCATGGAGAAGAAGAATTGAGGACCGTATCGCAAAGGTAAGGGCCATCATCGGCAGGCTGATAAGCTTCAGGTCGGGCAATAATAGGCCCAGAATTGTGCGCACCGTTAGGATGGCGTTCGCTGGGACCAACATAAACTTGTCCCAGCCGGACATTACGCAAAAACTAACGGAGCGCATAGATGACCTGAAGCAGAGGATCGCTGCTTGGGGGAAGCGGATTCGGAGATATTCCGAGAGGACGGCGCGGTTTTAGCCAGAATCGCCTCTTCCAGAGTGACCAAAAGAGGCTCTACAAATCTTTGGAGCGACCAGTGAGTTGTGGAACGGGCCAAGGACCGGACCAGGCAGACACTGTCGCCTTCTGGCGCAGCCTGTGGTCAGAGCCCGTAGACCACAGTGAGGGCCCTTGGACACAAGTCGTGGCGAGCCAATGTGCAGACATTACACCCATGAACCCCGTCGTCATAACATCCGACGACGTATCTGAGGCAGTCCGTAGAGCCCCGAACTGGAAAAGTCCGGGACTCGACGGGCTGCATCACTACTGGCTGAAGGGGTTCGTGGTGTGTCATGCTGTGCTCGCCCGACAGTTCCAAGAGGCTCTCGATCAGAGGTCGCTCCCGAGCCTCTTTACTACTGGGGTCACTCATTTGGTTCCTAAAGATCAGGTTACCACAGACCCGAGTAAGTACCGCCCCATTACGTGTCTACCTACCATCTATAAGACACTGACATCTATTCTGAGTATGAGAATCACCCGGCATATTAATGTGAATCGGATTATGTCTCGTACTCAGAATGGATGTCGGGGCGGCGGTCGTGGAACCAAGGAACCGCTTCTCATCGACGCGGTCATTGGTAAAATGGTTAAACGCAACCGTCGGAACCTCTCCGCCGCCTGGATAGACTACAAAAAGGCATTCGACTCGGTGCCCCATACATGGCTAAAGAGGGTCCTCGAACTGTACAAAGTAGACTGTACAGTAAGAGACTTCCTCGAGCACTGTATGGGGCAATGGAGTACGATCCTTTGTCATCTAGGCGAACGGATGACGGCTGCGGAATACCGGATAAGGATACGACGGGGTATTTTCCAGGGCGACTGTTTGAGTCCAATATGGTTTTGCCTCTCCCTGAATCCTCTCAGCGCATTACTGGAGGGCTCGGGGGGAGGATTTCAGCTTCGGAGAGGAGGGACAAAAGTGACCCACCTTTTCTACATGGATGACCTCAAGTTATTCGCCTCCAATCGCTCCCATTTGATGGAATTGCTTAAAGTCACTTGTGATTTCAGCAATTCTATCAAAATGGAGCTCGGGACGGATAAGTGTGCGGTCCTTCATGTCGAAAGGGGTAAGGTCACTAATACGGAGGGCATAGACTTATCTATGCC